CGATGTCGAGTTGCTTCTGTTCCGAATAAATATGCTTTCATGCAAAGTTTGTTGGATCATGTTATTAGGGTTGGTCGGTTTTTTAGAATTTGGTAGGGTTTGTTGATTATTTGTAATTAATTGGTTCCTTTTAGTCCCACGAGTAAGGCCGATATAACAGGTCACTAGGAAGGTGACGCCTATTCTTCCTAGGAGACTAATACAACGACGTTTGCCAGGTCCGTCGAAGTGGATTGTTTGCGACTGGTCTCCCACCAGCCATGCAGTCTCTTGGCACGAATCTCACCGTAGACTTAGGGTGATTTTTTTATAGAAGTTGTCTTCTTTATAGTCCGGGCAATTAAGCCAAGACTACCGATCCTGCGAGCAGCGTTAACAGGGTTGCGGTTTGTGGGAGTCATTTCCTACTCTCACTGTTAGACCAAGCTGGTTAGGCTGGTTTGGTCGGGTTAATTTACCGCCGCCCGAGACCCGGCGTTGTTATTCATTTGGCACCACCCAGGGGGCACGTGTAGGGTAGTGGTTAGGTAGTTCCTACGGACGCGAATAACTAGACCCCCCCTAAATAGATGAGAAATGACTAGCAAACAGGTTTACAATATCTTCACCGGTAGTACCAATTTTGTCTTGATAACACATCTGACTAGGAATATTATTGGTGATACGTTTAGATTTTGTGTAGCGCCAAAAAGCTTTTATGTTGAGTTTAACATCCTCTTCAATTTGCTCTATATATTTTCTGAAGCACCTCTGGGTAACTTCCTTGGCTCTAGTTCTAAGAATAGAGAACTCATCATAATCCCTGGGGTTTCCAAATCGCTTAAATCTAGTATGAGCTTTGTTTTTAGATGTAAGCAATTTAATTAAATTTTTGGAGAACCATTGAGGATATTTATTATTTGGACCATTAGACTTTGGAGTATATTTTTCTATGATTGAATGTATATTGTTGTAAAATAACAAAACAAATTCATCAAATCCCATATTCAATGCAAATTCTGTCCAATCAATTTTCAATATATCTATTTTGCAGCTTTCATAATCAGTTTTACGAAAACATTGTTTAAGCGATGTGTTCTGTATCAAGGTAGAAGGAGTAGTTTGAAGTATCAGTTCAAATGTCGGATGGTTCTCATCTACACGACTTATGTGTAGAGTAGGTGTAATAGTAAATAAGTCTGGACAGTCAGTTATAACTAGATCTAGTATTCGATCCTTATAGTTTTTATTAAAATTAAGTTGTCGCAATGTAGTAAGATCGAATAGGTCACATAAAGCTTTTGATTTTTCACAGTAATAGTTCAGAGGACAGCCAGTTTCAGTTGACCAGAGAACATGAGTTAGATTAAAATCACCCAATATACAACAAGTCCTGTGATTAGGCATATTACCAACTATGTTACTACATTTTTTAATAAAATCACAAGCTGCATTTGCCGGTAGATATCCAGGCAGATACGCAACACAAAGATTCATAGTAAAATCACCGTTCAATGAGATTTGTACCCACAAATCCTCCATATAGTCTGACTGCCAGTCATTTCTCACCAAAATTTTGAGTTTTTTAGAATAAGCAATTAGTACACCACCTCCATGATCCTTACCATACCGTTGACAAAATCCAGGATCACGATCCCTACGTACCACACAATATCTGTCATCAAACAGTTCAGAGGAAAATACATCGGCATCAAGCCAAGTCTCACAAAAACATATTATATCAAAATTATTACATAATACATTATTGTAAATATCAACAGTCTTGCTCTTCATACCTCTTATGTTTTGATAATAATAGATTGAAAGAGACATTTTAGCTATTAAGGATTTTTCGGCGTCGGGACGTGACGACCCCATCGCCCACTGGTAAAATAACCTGTGACAGAGGTTATTTTACCTAATTAATTCTAACATCAACGCTGTCCACTATCATCTAGAGACTGCGAAGCCAGCCTTGTTCTTTCTTACCGAGACTCAGATATACTCCCCGGCTGATACTTCCCACCTATCCTACCCGGGGTACAAATTGGAACATTCATTTGTGCCGCGGGCTGGAGTTTGCGTGTACGTCAGAGAGGATATCTGTTCTCGTCGCCTCGGGACGCTTGAAGGAAGGGACCTATCTAACCTCTGGCTGCGCGTAGACTGCGATGACCATCCGCGATTCGACGCATGCCTGTATAGGTCCCATAGCGGAAATACCGAAACTGACCGACTCATTGAGCACATCCAAATGGCTACAGATTCCCTGCTCGAAAGGGTTCTGAAATCGTGATACTTGGCGATTTTAACGCCCACCATGCCGATTGGCTCGGCTCTGAAACCACCGATCACGCGGAAAGATCCTTTCACGACTTTGCTTTAGCCTACGACCTGACACAAATGGTCCCTGCGATTACGCGAATACCAGATGTGGATGGTCATAAACCCTCTTTGTTGGACCTTCTGCTGACTTCACATCCGGAGTACTATCAAGTCTCTGTTGACCCGCCATTGGGTTCATCAGATCATTGTGTGGTCCGGAGTACTGTGCCATCTACGCGCCCTTCACGGCCCCGCTTTAAGTCAGCAGATTGGGACGGGATGCGGTCTTTCTTTGCGTCCTACCCTTGGGGGCCTATGTGCTTTTCGCCGGAAGCTCCAGATTCCGTCGCCGCCTCTGTCGCCGAAGTGGTTCTGCAGGGCATGGAACTCTTTATTCCATTTTCTGCGGTGCAAATCGGTGGCAAGTCTCAGCCCTGGTTTAAACGTTCTTGCAAGGCGCCCTCGCGTCGATAGCGAGAATGCTTTAAGGCATGGGCGGAAGCGGCGAAATCTCATGATGCCAATACCAGCGAACTTAAAAAAGCATATAACTCAGCATCCAGGTCCTTCAAACGGGAAATCACTAAGGCAAAGTCAGAGCACATTGCCAGATTTGGCGAGAGATTGGCCCAACTCCCTTCAGGGACTCGAGCCTTCTGGTCTCTCGCCAAAGCTGTCCAAGGGAATTTTTGTCAGCCCGCCATTCCGCCACTGCACAGGGACTCTCTGGCCCACACTGCGAAGGAGAAGGCTGACCTTTTGGGCTGTCTCTTCGCGTCCAACTCGACTTTGGATGACCGAGGGAGATCACCACCGACCATTTCGCGGTGTGATTCATCGATGCCGGAAATCACATTCCGGCAACATGCTGTCCGCAAAGCACTATCTTCCTTGGACATTCATAAGTCGAGCGGGCCGGATGGTATCCCCCCAATTGTGGTGCGTACTTGTGCTCCTGAGTTGGCTCCGGTCTTAACGCGCCTTCCGGTACCTGTACTCGCTTGGCACTGTCCCGAAGTGCTGGAAGACCGCTTTGATACATCCGATCCCTTAAAAAAGGCAATCACTCTGATCCGTCAAACTATCGCCCAATAGCTATAACCTCCTTGTTCTCCAAAATAATGGAATCCATTGTTAATTGCCAGCTCTTGAGGTATCTAGAGGGCCACCAGCTGATTAGCGATTATCAGTACGGCTTTCGTCGTGGTCGTTCGGCTGGTGACCTTCTTGTATACCTTACACATAGATGGGCAGAGGCCAAGGGGGGAGGCGCTAGCGGTTAGTTTGGACATAGCGAAAGCCTTTGATCGGGTGTGGCACAGAGCACTGCTCTCGAAGCTTCCAGCCTATGGGCTTCCCGAGAAATTACGCGATTGGATCTCCAGCTTTCTGGCCGATCGGAGCATCAAGGTCGTCATCGACGGAGCATGTTCCGACCTAAAACCCGTAAACGCTGGGGTCCCAGACAAGGCTGTGTTCTATCCCCGACCCTATATTTCTTCTGCATATCAATGATATGTTGAAACTTAGCAACATTCATTGCTATGCGGATGACAGCGCTGGGGATACTTTTTACACTGACCGTACAAGTATTTCTCGGGCAGTTGTTGATGAGTACCGGAACAAACTTGTGTCTAAAGTCGAAACTCTACTACGTGGAGTCTCAGATTGGGGCAGAGAAAACCTAGTCAAATTGAACCCCAAGAAGTCACAAGTTTGCGCGTTTTCCGCTAAAAACACCCTTTGTCGCTACTCCTCTTTTCGAAAACACTCTTCTTAAAGCCACAGCCAGCATTGGAATACTTGGCGTTGACATATCGAGCGACGTTCAGTTTCGCGGTCACTTGGAGGGAAAGGCTAAATTAGCCTCCAAAAAGCTTGGTGTGCTCAGCAAGGCGAGAAGGTACTTCACTCCGGGCCACCGCATGCAACTATATAAAGCGCAAATTCGGCCCCACATGGAGTACTGCTCTCACCTCTGGGCGGGGGCTCCCCAGTACCAGCTCCTTCCACTTGACCGTATACAACGCAGAGCGGTTCGAATCGTCGACGACCAATCCCTCTCCGAGTGGCTTGATCCTTTGGCGTTGCGTAGAGATGTGGGGTCACTTTGCATCTTCTACCGAATTTCCCATGGAGAGTGTTCAGAGGAGTTGTTCGGATTAATACCTGCAGCTGAGTTTCATCATCGGACGTCGAGGCAGAATACGAAATTCCACCCGTATCACCTCGTCCGACGTTCCACAACTGAGCGTTTTTCAAGGCAGTTTTTGCCGCGCACCACCACTATGTGGAACCAGCTGCCCACTGAAGTATTCCCGAACCAATTCGACTTAGGGTCCTTCAAGAAAAGAGCGTACCAATTCTTAAAATTGGCCTAAAATCATTGAATTTGTGGCAGTACGTAAAGACAATCCAAGTAACTAAGTATATATTGATTAAGAATACCGATAGCCTTGCTCTAATAAATTAATACCACTTCTTGAAAGGCCGGCAACGCACTCGCGAGCCCTCTGGCATTGAGAGTGTCCATGGGCGGCGGTATCACTTAACATCAGGTGAGCCTCCTGCCCGTTTGCCCCCTGTTCTATAAAAAAAAAATACCATCAGTGCATACTCAAGTACCTTAACGGGTAATAATAATTGCATTTTTTTATTTTTTTTTTGCCACAAATTCAATGATTTTAGGCATATATTTAGTTCATCAGCAACAGTTGATCGGGGAATAACTGGAAGAGTCTAACGAAAATCACCTGACAACAGAAACATGGCCCCATCAAAAATATTTTGGTTGTGACGAAGATCTTTCAAAGTTCTGTCCAGCGCCTCCAGTGACCTCTTATGGGCCATTGTGCATTCATCCCAAACAATTAATTTGCATACCTGTAGAATCTTGGCCATTGCGCTATTTTTGGCGATGTTGCAAATTGGTGTTTCCGTGATTTGCATGTTTAATGGTAATTTCAAGGCAGAATGCGCAGTTCGTCCGCCTTCTAGCAGAGTCGCAGCTATTCCAGATGAAGCCAACGCTAGAGCAACATCATTTCGCGATCTGATCCTCGCCAAAAGCAATGAAATTAAGAACGTTTTTCCGGTTCCTCCGGGAGCATCAAGGAAATAAATTCCACCAGATCCACTGTTCACAGCTTCTATCAAAGTGTCGTACGCAATTCTTTGTTGTTGATTTAATTGTGGAACATTTGTACGAACTGTTTCGGTCAATGCTTCAATGTCGTACTGTTGTTCCCTTTGCAACTCGTGGTTTAATGCATCGTGCATATGACGATTGGATGCTGTCATTCCTAAACACGACAATACTTTATTTGCTATCAACAAACACATATCTTCTATCATGATTAGTGTTGCCCAAATGCAAGACCAAGACGAGACTTAGGCCAGTCTTGGCATTGGTCTCGCGTCAATACACCTGGTCTTGATCTTGGTCTTGGTATTGCGCTCTCAGTCTTGGTCTTGGTCTTGATCTTGCAGCAAGAGTCTCGCAAGTCTCGCAAGACTTGCAAATACCTATTAGCCTATTGCTATTTATTGAACACGTTAGTTTAGATTTTAGATTATGATTCGCGCTGTAAGACGTATGTAGTTGGCTCTGTAACTACATACGTCTTACAGCGCGAATAATATGTTAATCAACAATCTAGCACTAGCCTGCAAATTGCAAAAAAAAAAATTGAGTTTGGCGGGCTATCCTATGCTACCTATGCGGCCAAAATAAGGAAGTGCGTGTGTGTTGAGAATAGCAGATTTCATTACAGTGTGCGTAGGTACATTTTTTAGGCAATTTGTCGTTACTCGTGACTGGCGCGCTTTGCTACGTAGGTACAGTCGTTAAAGTATGTGTAAGTGAGAAACGATGTAGGTACCTACTTCAACAAAATTGTATTCCTTAGAAAAATAACGATGATTATTTTTATTTATTTAGTAAATCATCGCTGAAGACAAAAGTCGCTACTAGAGTAGGTACGATAGAAGTTGATAAATCGACACTGCAAATCTCAATTTTTGGAAGTGTGTGATGGGCAGTGGCGGCGACCTTTGACATGAAAGCGACGGCGGGGACACAAAGGTTAGGAGCGGACTAAATTTTTACCTATTTTGGTAGGGTTGTCAATGTTTGCATTAGCACAGAAAAATAAAATTAAGTAAACACAACGTTTATCAACTTTTTAATAACTAGGTATCCACGATAGAATAATATTTTTTCTACTAATTACTCCGTCTAAATATATTTTTCAATAATTTGTTGTGTGTAATTGAATGGTAAACTCTAAATCTTACTTGAAAGCTTTTTTTTTAAATAAACTTATGGAAACATGTCAGTGACATGGCATAAACACTTTTCAATTATGCTGCTTACATTTTAGTACCTAGGTATATCACTCACTATCTATCATTTACCGATATTAACAATGATTATTTCGAAATCAAAATATTCGCAATTCAATAGATGCAATACCTACTTAGTTATTAATTATCATGTCGCCCGACAGCTTTAAACGCTGTAGTGTTCGAATTCGAGCCACTGTGAGAATGTATTTAAATACAAGAAACTCAGAGCATTCAATTTATACCTACCTACTGCTGAGACATCTTCAAGGTCATTTAATTTTATCCTCCTGTACCAACCCTACCAAAATAGGTAACAATTTTGTGTCTCTGTCCGGACTCTTTGTCGGCGAATGCGACGCTCAAACAGTGTCAAATGCTGTGATACACTCGTTGCAAACCGCGGCCTCTTTGTCGGTAAATTATCAAATAAGTAGGTATATAATACACCGACCGACCAACAGTTTATTCGCAAGACGTCACATTTTCCCAATCAACCTTGAACCTTAATTCTTTAGCGATAAAGTTGAAAATCTGTTAAAGAAATTTGACAGATTGTAGTAGCTTGATGTGCTGGCGTCTGTACCATAATATTGGCTGCCGTAGAAACTGTTACTAGACCTACTCGACTCGCAGTTAGTTTTAAATTTTGCTAAATAGAAGAATAATATAAACTTTGAAACATAAGTAGGTACCAAAATAATGTTTATATAATTTTGTTGGCTATAATTTTAAGCACATACCAACCTACGAGTACTAACGTTAGATCTAAACATTAGACATAAACAAGCATAATATATTATTATAGGGTAGTTGATACCTATAAGGTATGATCTTTGCTAGAAAGTTATTCTGGGTAAATTTTATCACATGGGATGATGGTAACAGATTTATGAGTATTAACACGCTACCTACTTAATAAATTGTTGAAATATAATAAGTACTTCCCTACCTAATCAATACAATACCTTTCAGTGTTCTTTCAGACGAGCGGCACGTTTATTATGACGATACCAACGGTTTTAATACTGGGGAACGTATCTCAAAATCGGGATTGAAACCAAATACCTACTTAATAACGCCCAAATCTCAGTTTGTCTTCACTGCAAGACGCAAGAGTCTTGCAGGCTTTAGTATTGTCTTGCTCAAGTCTTGCATGCTTCAGTCTTGGTCTTGGTATTGCTACAATAAGGCGGTCTTGGTATTGGTATTGGTCTTGCGAGAACGCAAGAACAAGACCAAGACCGATTTTGGGCAACACTAATCATGATCAATGTCTCATTGTAAATTTCAGTCATGTAGTGCAGGATTCATTTTCACGGCGCACACGATGCAAAACATCCTCAGACATGTCATCTCTATACTTAACCCACAAATCTTTTGGATTCGAGGGGAAACATGTCGATATGATAATTGCAAACAATGTACGAATTAGATGCGGCGATGAAGATATTACGGAATCCTTGAGCGTATCATCCCAGTGCGAATCGTTCTCAAGTAAATGTAATAGTTGGCATGCCTCACGATAAGTCGCACACAGCTGTCCATTAACTGTTCTCAGTTGTTTGAACGATGTCGGACTACGAACATTTACTAACAACATTCGATGATGCGTTCCATATGTAATAGCGTGGCATGTCAGCATACAGCAAAGTGCGAGCAAAATCATCAGTATGACAGACTGTGAAGAAACTTGTTAATGTTGTCGATGGTGGACGTGCCGCTCTGTCTGCCGCGTTCGATTCATTAAAATAAACTCGTTGACCATTTTCTAAATGGACTACTGTAGGGTATCTTTCATGGATTGCAAATGAAAATATACGCCAAATTGCTTTGTTGCTACTTACATAGCGCCCCATCTGGTACTGTGATATTTCATAATTTGCATTTGTTATAGCGAAGACAGCCATATCCCTGCCTTGTTAACATATTTACATAATATGTACTTTATCGACTTTACAGAGTTACAATATTCCACATCGATGTGAGTCTCAAAAGCTTTGGACAATATTGGCGAGTATAGCACAATCCAACGATTTAGACAATCGTTGGATTGTCATCAACATTTTGTCCTCTTACCTTCACAACTACCGATTGCCCATTTTCCGCAACTGATCGCCGACGATACAATGAGTATCCATCATTTCCCGTTATGGTTTCAGCAAGCAGGTCTCTTGGGTATCGCTTGGAACACTTGCCGTCGACCATGCAGGGTGAATTGTAGTTGAAAAGTCCGCAAGGTCCATGTATCATGTGTTTTTGATCAGTCTCTCTCTGGTCATCAGTGCGGTTAGCACGTGAGGTAGCTCTTCGCACATTTGATTGACTGCGACGACCTAAGTCAGGTCGTCTTCTCCTCGGCATCGTAACCTAATTAATCTAAGTGAGAAAATTTCTCGCTCACTTAACAGTAAAGTGTCACTATCACAAAATATCAACAAAAAAAGAGCACACTACTTCGAATGTCAATATCACAAAGGATCACAAAAGTAAAGAAAGTTCTCGCGCACGTAGCGGTAATCGGGTCGAACGTTAGTGATGGTGACACAAAATAATATAGGGAAGAAAGCTTATAACTAACGTCCGTCCGGCACGGCTGCTTAAATCTATCTGAAGCTATACAAATATTAACGTAAAACTAAACCTAAACTACCACGCTGGTAAAAGGGACCGACCGACCCTTCCGCTACCTGCGCACCCACCGACCGTTTCCAAGAACAACATCTGGCTGGCAGCTTCGTTCGTCAGCTTTCTAAATTGCATTGTTCGTTGTTCGTAAAATACTTTTTTCCGTGTTCTGATTTTTTTTATTTATTTTTTTGGAGTTTACCTTTAAGCCATAAATCTCCGTGTTCTGAAGTGCGACAAATGATTGACATATTAGTTGGTTGTCAAATACAATGTCAAATATTATGGTTGTGTTCAGAAACTTAATTTGTGACAAAACTTAAGATTTATCAAACTTAAAAAAATAATCTGATACAGTTACAACTGAAGTTAGCTAAAATTAAATTTCGCGAAGCCGACCAAATTAATTGGAAATCAGTACTACTAATAGTTTATTACATTTTTTGTCGCGTTCGCGATTCACTTTTGTTTATTTTCGGAACGCGACTTTAGATCCTCCAAAGCGCACGCAGAAGACTATTTTCATAGATATGATTGAATTTGACCTTCATGCAGCGGTAATAAATTGCAAATTGACTCTTTGACGTTAGTAACACACCTAAATTGCTTAGACAACAGTGAGTGATTTTAATTTAATATGAACTTTATTGAATAGCAATAAAGTTCAAATTGACTCTAGAAAACGTTTGTATGGGAAATAGAAAAGGGCTGTTTTTAGGGGTTTCCCGGAAATTATTCTCGCCTTTGAAACCTTCCCTAGACCTCCACTAACATTTCAAGACTAAGATAAGATAAATCCGTTCAGCCGTTCTCGAGTTTTAGTGAGACTAACGAACAGAAATTCATTTTTATATATATAGATAGATAGATAGATAGATTAACCTAAAGTATGTGTTTTTGATTTTCACTTAACATTTTCAAATCACTTTGGAACAAGACGATCACACACAAAACACGCAAAGCCGAAACTGCCAACTAGAAATTGATTTTTAAAAATTTTTCGGGATAAGGAATACTTACGATTGCTTGCGAAGGATCAGTTCTTTCTTCGGTAATAAGTGATGCTAGCACATTTACTGCTGAATCTGAATTCCGCGTTTGGTGTTATCTTGTTGCTCCATGTAAATTTGGAGCTAAAGTCTCTGCACCTAAAAATATCACAAAGTAAAAAATAAAATTATTCTTAAATTATTTAAACCGATAATAAAAAGTAAATTGACATTAAAAATACATACTTGTCGCCGCAGTGTTTTCAGTATTACGTAAATTATGATTTTGTATAATAGACTCGCTGTTTCAAGATTCACTAGATTGTTGACTAGGATTTAATAAATTCATTTCCTTAAATTTTTTTCTCTGATACCATAATTTTGATCTTTCCGTTGCTGTAAGAGCCCTTTGAACTTTTAAGTAAATAATTATTATTTTTGATAATTATTCTTGTACATACATTAAGTTAAAATTAATGTATGTCATTAAATATATAAACAGTGGTTTATGATTCATTACATTATGGATAATTGAAGCTGTTACCGACTAAACACTTACGTATTGCTGAAGAGCTAGAAGAATTATTAGATCCGTTAGCTGTTTTTTTTCTCGCAAACGCTGACGATACAATCTCATCTTTTCAGCAGCTTTAGCATTTTCTTTACCTAAAATAAAAAAAATATCTTATAATAACAGTATCTTAATAAATGAGATTTGATATATTTTATATGAATATAAAAAAAAATAAGTTGTTTAAACAATAGGAAAATGAACACTTACGTTTTTTACAGGTCAAGCTATTATTTATTGATGAAAGAGTAAAATATTCCTGGGACTCTGCCATTTCATTTAATATTCACTATTTCATTTTCAGAGTACGAAATTCCACCCGTATCACCTCGACGTCCGCCGTTCCACAACTGAGCGTTTTTCAAGGCAGTTTTTGCCACGCACCACCACTTTGTGGAACCAGCTGCCCACTGAAGTATTTCCAAACCAATTCGACTTAGGGTCCTTTAAGAAAAGAGCGTACCAATTCGTGAAAGGCCGGCAACGCATTCGCGAGCCCTCTGGCATTGAGAGTATCCATGGGCGGCGGTATCACTTAACATCAGGTGAGCCTCCTGCCCGTTTGCCCCCTGTTCTATAAAAAAAAAAAAAAAATATTCTACTAGCGGACCCGACAGACGTTGTCCTGCATGATATTTCAAGCGATTAGTATATCAAACGAAGTATGATAGCGTCATCTGCTGGGTTGCTTTGTGAATCTTAACCATCCAGGACTTTACCCAAACGCATTCAAAAATTATTCATATCGGTCCAGCCGTTTAACAGGAGTGTGACACACACGTACAATAGAATTATATATATATGTAGCTTACTTCCTATCTTTGAAGTTCGATCAAACTGCACACGGTGATATTTGACACTAGCCGGCGTATAAGTCAAGAGCGTGGAGTATATGACATATACTTACGACCAATCCGAATTATTATTTTTAAATAGCGGAAACTACACAGACTATAGTAAGCGTTACTTCCGTCATAAAAAAAACCTAATTAATTATGATATTTGCCACTAGATGGCGTAAAAGTCAAGAAGCGTGGAGTATATGACATAAACTTACGACCAATCCGAATTATTATTTTTAAATAGCGGAAACTACAGACTATAGTAAACGTTACTTCCATCAGAAAAAAATCCTAATTAATTATGATATTTGCCACTAGATGGCGTAAAAGTCAAGAAGCGTGGAGTATATGATATAAACTACACAGCTATAGTCTGTGTAGTTTAAGCGTTAATACCGTCAGAAAAAAATCTGAGTTACTCCCTAGTCGCGCCTAAAGAAGTTTTACTTCAAAAAAATCCCAGCTTCCTAAAACTGGGTAAAGCTACTCAAAAAAGGTTTTAAAGTTAGAAGTTTAGTTCTTTAGCTGGATTTGCCCACACATTCGACTTCAATTTAAAAATACCAAAAGAAGTTTCCATAGCTTCTGGCTAAGTTTAAAAACTCCGTAGGGTTCTAAGCTACCAAAATCACAGAAAAAAATGGTACTTAGTTGGTATTTTTTTGTTGTAATCGGCCTTTTAAGGTGGATAGGCTAAAAAGAAGCATTAAAAATGTTTTTTTTTTCGACTTTTATTATTCTTATGGTAAATTCAAGAAGAATATTTGTGCGAATCCATTTGTCTACGAAAGACATTATAAAGGAAATTATTTCATACTATTTTGAAGATTTCATCTGTCAAAATCTAAGGATAACGAAATTCAGACATGCGTCAAGAGAGACAATGACTAAGGCCGAAATTTTGACGTTTTTGTTAGAATCTTCACATTGTTGAATCTAACTTAAGTACCAAGTTTTAAATAAATGTAGAATATAAAAGGTTTAATAAAATTCAACAAAATATACAAAGTTTTATTATAACAGCGATATTATGTCAAAATTGTTTTTGACATGCCAACTTGACAGCTAACAGAAATTAATCGTCCCGTTTTAGGACGTATAACTAAACTATGGCTTCATCCAATACATTCATTAAAACATTTTCAGTCTCAATTCACGAGATTTCAAGAGAAAAGCATACCGGCCTGGTAATGCAGAACAAATTAATACCGTGAATTTGAACGCGATTTTAAAAGTATTTGAAAGGCGAGAGAGTTTTTGTTTGCGACGATTCAACGGTATGCATCACCACCCATTCGGATTGGGCGATTTGGTTTTGAGCTTTTTCTGGTATAGTCCAAGCAACTTGCGATGGTATGGTCTCAGTAATTAGAGTCGTGCTTTTTTCTGCCATTAACTGCGAGACGGGTTTTACTTTTATTCGCGGTACAAATGGTGTAGGCTCCTTTGGTTTATCATTCACTGGATCAATCACTGTATCGGCCAAGGAAACGGTGTTTGTAATGATGGGCATAGATAGACTTACGTCGCTAGAGGAAACGCTTACTGTATCGGCCAAGGAAACTGTGTTTGTAATGATGGGCATAGATAGACTTGCATCGCTAGAGGAAACGCTTTTGTTAGTAGTCTCTTTGGTCTTTTTTGGAAGTTGTTTGGGATTCGCAACGGGACTTGTATTTAAAAGCTTTAATAGCATATTATCGTCATTATCATTAGCCACTTGCTCCACTGTAGTCTCTTCTGTTGAATTCTGATCAGGAGTTGGCAAGTCATCATTTTCTAGTAATTTTTGTAAATTTTCCATATAAGTGTTACTGTCTGAACCTTTTAGTTCACTCGCAATAATCCAACCTGTTTCAGCACCATTTATATTGTCCTGCACTTGTTTACGATCTTCATAATTTTTGGGACTTGGTGGCTGTGGATCTAAAGAATCAATATCTACACATTCCATAACATTATTTTGTAATTTATTTTTACTGGAACCCGGTGTTTCTAATTCATCATTATTTTTGGATCTTCTAATACAACTGTTTCATTGGAGCTTTGAGAAACTAGCCTTAATCTTTTACGTTTCCCTTTAGTGATGATATCATCATCTGAGGATTCGGAAGAATTTTTTTTCTCTTGTAAACCTGAAGTTTTTTTTAGGTATACCACGCGGTATTGATCATATTTGTTTAGCAGAATTTGATCTTCACCCATAACAACCATGACGTCGGAGCTGACGAAATTAGTTTTTTTATCGATTTTGGGCAACTGAATTTTACATTTCTTTAGTATACGGCCATATTTTTGTAGCAACGCACTGTGCTTCTCCATATGTGTTATAAGAATCTGTTTATTCTTGTAAACGACTTCGCATAATCTGCACGCGAAGTACTTGTTGTAATTTTTACGCCAAGATCGTACTGTTTTAGTATCATTTTTTATTTCGAAAGATTCATTTAAATTTGTTTCTAGGGATTTTGGTTTCTTCTTTAAAGTCAACTCAAATGTTTGTTGAGTCTTTGTTTCAGGTATAGTGGATTGTGTTGATGATACAGTATCCTGCTGTTGTAAAGGTGATTGTGTTTTTTTAAGACCGAGTTGCTTTTCTTGATAGGTTTTCTTTTTTTCATGGAAGTCAGACAAAATAGTCTCACACTTTTTGCAGATCAACTGAGGTAAACCATCCAAGGGATCGACCTGTAAGAAAATTTTCAGATTAAACCAAACAACATTCCTCATCATTTAGTATAATCGATTAAATTTTAAAGCAAGTCTGTGCATGCCAAACCTGAAACAATTATAGTTTTACCAGGACTAAAGGATGTAATACAATATTCCTATTAGGTCTCTGAATGGCAGAACCAGAATATGATGACATATTATGTCAAATGCCTCCTTTCATTAATAAAAATCACACCAGATTGAACGGTTTCATAAAGCATAGTAAAGTGAAAGACATGTATAAGCTTCTTATTAGACCTATGATGCATATAATACATTGCTCATAAAATAATTGATACTAATCTGCATAGAGAAAATAAATACAACTTAGTGTAGTGTATAATTAAAAGGTACTTACATCTATATCAAAACAGAACTTTATTTGTGTTCGTACATTTGGAACAATTTGATACTGGCCCATTTCATCCAAACATAATCGACAAGTTATAAAAAGCTTCGGATCCACCTCTATTTTATACACAACAAAACAAAACATTAGTAAAACACAAATCTATAAAATAAACGACGGGTTGCACTCCGGGAGTGCCGGCAGAAGTCAAGACTTGAATAATAACGTTGTGCATTTTTGATATTTTGGAATGGTTTTGCACGAATTGCTTTAATTATCAGTACAAAGTACTATCATTTATGTGGTAGAATACAATATTTATTTATTGCGCTATCGTACATTAATATGACAATTTATATTACATTAAAAAGTTTATCTCTCAGAAACATCAACTTCCATCCATAATTTCGACGACTTTCTCCCCATCATTATCACCAGAACTATCATCGCCAATCTCTAAAACTGATACGATCGGTTTATGATAGCTGAAGTAAGAAACGAACAGTTTTGTTTCGAACCTATTTAAATGTCTAATAAAGATCGCATCAATAGCAGTTTTGTATTTCGTTGTGCTATGATTGCGATCATTTGACATTGTTAAACCAAATTCATAATTTAAAAATTAAATTAATAGTTGATTTTTATCGTCTGCAAAGTTTATGTTGAAATCTCCACTCAAAATCATTGGCAATTCATAAAAGCTAAAATTTAGAATAAATTTTCGCAATGACTTTTCTGGAGACATGTAAACAGCAACCATAATAATGAACTGATTATCACCAGAGTGGCAAGGACTTATACAAATATCACCGATATCAGAAACAGTAGCATTTAACATGCTATTGTATTTATATATATCGCGCCTAAAGAAGTATAACTTCAAAAATTGAGCCAACTTTTAATAGTACGCTTATTAACAGTACTTTGTAAGTAGCTCGGCGGATGAATTTTCTTTCGTTTGATATGTACATATCAAACGAATGTTCTAATATACTCTCATAATTGTCTATATGTACATTTAGACAATAGTCATCATCAATATTCCTTGGAATAGATTTTAACATATTATTAACTGAAACAGGAACATTAATTATTTGACCGAAAATACCGTACTGAGTACTGACCATTAACATGCCTCAGTCTTCTGATTTGCATGAAGGGAATACGATGTGAAATTAGTCTTTCGGAAACAACATCTAAAGTTGGCAGATGTCGAGGTATATCTCTGGATATTTAAAACCATTGAATGTGGACATTGAAGGAATATTCTTCTTGTTTAACGCTTGTATGCATGTGTTGCAAAGCTTCGTATTTTTCGCTGGTGTATTAGGTATAATTTGTGTTAAGATTTCTATATGTTCAGGAGACGGACTTTTCAAGTCATCTTGAAACCACAATCTGTTACATACTGAACATGGATATGCAAAAGGAATGTCTAGAAACTTTTTTTTAAATTCCTGATGAGCTCTTTTTAGTCGTGGAAAATTACTATACGGTAAAGAAGTATCTATGTCCATATCAATTTGTTCATCAATAGAAGTATTAATAAACTGTTCCAGATAATTGGAAGGAACGGCTTCTCCGTCTTGTGTAGGTAATTCCTGGTCTATAATCGTGTCTTGATTTAAACTATCACGCTCCTGATCATGTGCAATGTCTTGAGTAGATAAAATATGTACATTCGAGGCACCAGCTAATTGCTGAATAGTTTCTTGGGCATGAAGCAGTCGGTTTTGCCCCATGTCTGCTAATAAAGTATTTTCTGATGTACATTGATTATACGGCACAGGAGAATCAGTCATTTGCACCTCAGCTTGTACAAAAATAAAGTTGCGATTATCGTGTGTTGAAGCAAATAAAAAGGAATCGTTTAAATTATCGCCATTATGATCAGCAATACGAGTACTGGACAGCGTTGAGACATCTGGTTGGTTTGTACTAGCACTGATGGTAGCTAACCGAAATGATGGCGCAAAAGTCCTTATTCGTGAACTTGAAGTTGACGGTGTGGATAAAATCTCAGCCACGGATGATTTTTCTACTTGTAAACGCATTTTGGCACGATTACGTTCTGCAGCTGTTTTTCTTATTGGCTTGTTTACTGACAAGCCTTGACGAGCTTTTTCAGCTTCCTTGGCAGCTTTTTTTCTTCTGTAATAGTTTTTACTATGTTCCGCACTTGTTTTACCCATCTTAAAAACCTGAAAAAGGAATTGAATAGTACCATTAATAGTCATCAAATGTAAGCGAAAAAACTCTTAGATTGATAAATAAGAATGATAGTAAAAAATTAGATATAAAAATTAATATTAAATATTAAAAATTTACATTTAATAATTCAATTATATATATGATATATATGGCATCAATTGTACTACATATTACAGGATTCTTAATTTAAAAAAAATATTTGTTAATAATTAATTCATATTTCAAGAGTCAATGAATGAACTTATTGATAAATTTGAAAATTGTATTTGAATTTATTAAATTTTATTATTTATTCAATTTATTTCTTTATTTTTTTAAATATTAAATATAATTAATAATAAGTATTTAACGTTAATAATTTAATAATATTTCATATTTAGTATATTATTCAATTATTAATTAATATCGATAATTATAATTATTATTATTTATTATTTTATTATATTATTCATTCAATTTAAAAACTAAGTATGTTTCATAACCTTTTAACTAAATAACAATAGGTCTGTGTGAAAAAGCAATGCTAAATTTCTTTGAAAAAATAATGAAAGCTCCTTTATTTGTTTAAAAGGTACTACAATAATTATGGTCATTCAAAATTCTGGGCATAGCTGCTAACTTCACGCATATTCTATTTCTTTTTACTTGTAGATTGTATTATTCCCATCTCGCTCGCGCACGCTCGGCGCCCGGCTGGTTTAAAAAGAATTCGACGTCAGAGTTCAGACTGTGTCTACTGTCAAGCTACGGTAGGGACGCGTTGTGCTTCGCTCGGTTCCCGCGCTAGCGTGATAACTTTCGTACAAAAAATACTTTTTGCTGTTTAAGAAAGTGTATAGGCAGCGGCACGTAAGTCTAGCGCTGGCCGATACGTGGAGGGGATTGCTGCGCATGTATACTGTCGCGCGGGGGACGGAATGCGACTGGAGAGCCAATCGAAACTCTTCATTCCGCTAGCCCCCCTCAGGTACCTTACTTTTTACTTCTGCGCAATAACGGTCAGCGCTAGAGTTTCGTGCCGCTACTTGTAATAGTGACGGGTGAAAATTGTTATTACAGTTAAATTCGTGATAAAAAGTGAAGTGTTACAAAACAGTGCAGTTGTTTAGCGGATTTTGTAAACGGTAGGTTTTATCAGATTAGATTTGGATAACGCTTATCAAGGTTCTTCATTGATTTTTACTAAGAATTAAAGTTTTTAAACTAACAACTAAATGCCAAGGCAACGCATTTATAACTCATTTATTATGCAGGCATCAGGGCAAGTTAAAATGTATTTTCATTTACCGCAAGCTTCAACAATATTGTGTGAACATACCATTTCTTAGACGGTACCTATACCGTATACTCCCTAGTATTTCTAAACATATTTACTTTGAGACCGTTATCTTCAGAGTTTATTCATATTTGGTTCTTAGTTAACAAATATCTATTTAATAAATATTAGAAATTAATATTTAATTGATGTTGAATTTTAATTTTTTATCACAAATTTTTCAATTAATGTTTTATTAAATTTATTTCTTTTTTTTTAAATATTAAATAATAAATATTTAACGTTAAGAATTTAATAATATTTAGTATGAATTATATTAAATAATAATTTTGTCATTTATATTACTAAATAATACATACGGATAGTTAACCTCGATTGTATTGAACCACTTAGGGAGGTTGATGAGCACAGTTTTTTCACAAATATTTTCTAATATTAATTATTAGTATTGTTCAGATACTAGTATTATTCTGATTATAATTCATACGCACACATAAATCTCGCACTTGTATAATGAAAACAAAATGAAAACACGTGTTTTAAATGTAGAAACTCAAAGCATATTATAACTATAAATACGCAGTGAACAGAGACGGCGTGCGTGCCAACATGCTCCACTAACAGAGGTTCCATTTCTGTTTTGTTGGTAGCATTTTTTCCTCAACTTAATGAGCGATTTAGTGGCGACTTCATTCTGCTAATTTTGTGTCACGGTGCGCGCGCATCGTAAAATTTCACTCTCATCAATTTTTCATAACGCGCCTAAAGAAGTATAACTTCAATAAATAAATATTGTATTCTACCACATAAATGATAGTAATTTTATACTGATAATTAAAGCAATTCGTGCAAAATTATTCCCTAACCATTCCAAAATATCAAAAATGCACAACGTTAATATTCAAGTTTTCACTTCTGCCGGCACTCCCGGAGTGCAACCCGCCGTTTTTTTAGCAATTGATCCAAGCTTACCAAACAACGCAAGCCGTAAATCATCATTTAAAACTGCGTTTGGATTGTGATATAATTCAGCAAATAGATTTTCATTAGGAATTCTACCAACGACGTCGTTTATCTCCTCTCCATCATCGGAAACATATTCACGACTTAGCTTCCTGCAGATTTCCAATGTTTTTTCGATGTCAAGATTTGATTCGAACTCTTTTCTTCGATCTAGAATAAGTGCCTCATTTTCTTCGTATAACTGAAGATATCGCGATTCTGCAAGTATTTCCGATTCTTCATTACGGAACGGAAGGTGCAAAGTAACCATTTCTCTCCGATACTCATTGTAGTCTGTACCCATATCATAATTGCGATATCGTATTACTTTTGGTTCTTCCCTGAGTACATAGTCACCCTTGTTATTTTTATAATATTTAGCAACAAATTGAGCAAGAGAAATACCTGCTAAATCTTCAGTTCTCTTCTCATACTTGTCGAACCAATTTTCCTTCCATATGTCGGTTGAATCATCTTCTAGTTCACTTAATTCTTTCATTGTCTTCTTTATTCTATGCCTTTCGACTGGCCAAATGGTTGGTATATAGACGATAACAGTTGAACTTTTTGACAATGGTTCTCTCAATAGATACCATGCAGCCTCTTGACTCGTCATCTCAGTGTGGTTCAAAAGATTAATGCTAATATTTTTAGTAATGTCATATAAATTAAACTCAGGATGTTCATCCATTATTTCAATTATATGTCTTTGTAAATTGCTAACACCTCTGTTAGTTTTATTAACATATTCGGCCACGTAAGCTGCACAAGAATATTCTTCAGGTATAAATTGGAAATCAGTATTGGATCTGACAACGTTGAATATGAAGGGATTAAATGGGTTATTCCACTTTTCACATGGTTCACGTTTTGGAAAAACTTGTGGTCTATTAATTCCTGCTCGAATAATGTTGACATATTCGTCATCTGAAGCAATATTATGTTCATCGTAGAAAGATTGAAAACCATTGTATTCGTATTTTTCCAAGTTTTTTTGGATTGAATTATATTTAGCCTTGTACTGTTGGAAACCATTTTCTGTATCTGGCATAGGCGTCAGAATCATGGTTTTCTTAACTGGCATAAACGGAGCGTCAAATCCACATTTTTGTTGTCGTCTCGATGCTATACCTTTATAGCAAGTAGAAGTATTCTTATGAGTTTGTAATCGGATATCACCAGAAGCCTCGGCAGCAGATACTGATATCAGAAAATCGATAAGATCGATAGCTTCATTATAATCTCTGTTAAGAGCGTCTTCTGGGGCATTATCTAACCAAGCTAAAATATGCGCATGTGGACTACCTCGATGTTGAAATTCAATTCTTTTAAAGTAATGCAAAATCCTGTATTTTTTGAAAGGACTGTGCCTTTTTGATTGTAATATTTTTAAAATAATTTCGACTAACTTATTGAAGTATATAGCACATGTTACGGCATCTTCATTAATAAGAGTGCTTTTCTCAATAAAATGCAAATCTGCAGCCTCCTCAACCGATATTTTCGCATTATTTTTTAAATTATGCAACAATTGTAATAATTTAGGCCAACCAATTTCATTAGCACTTATGGTAAAGAAAACAGTTGGCTTACCGTATTGACGAATCATAGCAAAAAGATCTCTTTTCCTTTCTGCCCAATAGTATGCTGAATTCGGAATAGAACGAAGGAATGCCAAATTAGTTTCAATGCAGCCGTGAATATAATCATCAGATTGTATTTGCTCTTTAGTTATTGCAATACCTTGGCCGACATGCTTGAATGAAATATGAAGAGAGTCCTTAATTCTAATTCTCATTATTTTCATAGCCATGTACAACAAGTGTTGAGGGGTTACTCCTCGTCTATCAGATCTCCTTAATTCACTCGTAGCCATCATGAAGGGTGTGACCGCATCCCTAAATTCTCTGAATTGCCCCAAATATATTTGTGGAAAAGATAATTCTTCAGCATGTTCATCAAACAGGAAACTTCTTGGAGCATCACCTAAAAATTAAAGCAAAAGTAAATCATATATATTATCTATCTTCTTGTTCAATAAATTAAAGAAACATAAAAATAAAAAAAATACCTTCGCCTGAAGCGATTCTCAAGTACATATCGTCGTTCCACATCAATGTTTGCTGCTGTGCAATTAAACTTTCCTCGATGGGTATTTGTTCTAAAATATCATTGTCGCCATCTTCATCAAAGATGATTTCATCTTCAACGTCATAACTTCTATCATTCAAAAAACCATCTTCAACTAAAACACCGTAGGACTTGTAAAGAGGAGTATCTTTTAAATATCGTAACCACACTTTTATTTTTCTCTTGGTCACTATACCATACACGTAGCTAGATTTGTGAATTGTTTTCCTTTTAATGTGAACTGTTATAGCATGATCATCATCCACTTGTCTTGGTAACTGATGCACCATTGTGTTTACTTCAATCGGAAAATTTATCACCTGCCCGTATATTCCATATTGACCGTAAACATGCCGAAGCCTTCGAATTTGCATAAATGGAATCCTTGGCGATATAAGTCTTTCAGTTACCAAGTCCAAAGACAAGTCTTTAAGACAGTCTGGAAGTGGTGGATATTTGAATCCATTGTAAACTGATAGTGGTGGGATACGTTCCTTTTGAATGGCTGTAAAGCAAGTCGAACATATTTTTATTTTCAGTATAGCAATGTTTGAGAGCAATGTTCTTATAAATTCAATTTTTGGAGTTGCATCGTTATTCTGCAAATATTTCAAATCTTTTCTAAACCACAGTCTGTCACAAATGTCGCAAGCATGACCAAATTCATTTTCAACAAAATCATTTTCAAATTGTCGATGAGCAGAAGAATTATGTTGAAAAGCAGAATATGTTTGAAGATGTATATGAGGTGGAGATGATTCAACAATTTGAGAACGAAAATGCCTTTGACGCACTTTATCTTCGATAGAATTGTAGTTAGAATGTATTGATAGACTTGAAGGTACATCTCTCGATAGATAGATAGATAAATCTGCATTTTGGGAACTACGGATAACTGGTGGAACATATGGCACACCTCCGGTGGACGGGCCTGCAATTTGTGAAGTATTGATGACTGGTTGTGCATCCAACACAACTCTGGCGGACGGGCCTGTTAGTAATTTTGATGTTCTTTTTTTATCTCGATACCGCTTAGAATATTCTTTGTTTTTCTGCTTTTGTTTTCTTTCATCTTCTCTCTTCTTTTCATCATCAGAAAGGTAAGGCGTAAAGTGCAGCTCACGAAGATCAAGATGAATCCAATTATGTGTATCGTTTGCTTTAAAATGACAGAAGCGAGTGTCTTCATTTTTTGAATTTACGTTGAAATAGTGGTAATGCACACAAATATTTTGATTGTAATTTTTTGCAAATAAGTATAAACAATCCAAGTCTCCATATTCATTGTTACTTGAGAGTATGTTATATGCTTCCTGTGGATTGTGGCAGGAGTTAAAATAAGGTGAATCACGTAACTGTCTTCTTAAATCACTAGTCGAAATTTGAAGTTGCAGAACACGTATGAGTGAGTGGAAAAGACAATTACCATCACCTGGAATATCTGTAGTTCTGTGTAGAATGACTTTGGGGGTAATGCATTCGTGACTCTCTTCACATATACGAAGTTGTTGGGTGAAGAATTCATTTTTTTCGAGCTGTACATTTTCAAAATTTTGAGAAGCTCTGCATTGCACAATATTCTCTTGGTCTTCATTACTGTCCAATTTCTTTATTTTCCTGCGAAAAAAACAAAGAAATAATAAAATAAAATAATAACAATATGTATGATACATACACATATATATATATAGTATAATACTTAAAATATGAAATTAAATTACATTTGCAAATAATCCAATTTCTTTTGGAACAATTCTTCTATATTTTTGTCATTATCCTTTAAACCTTTTGTACGTTGATAATATGCCCTTTGATTCTCACGATGTCTTTTTCTTTTTTCTTCTTTTTTCTCTTCCTTCAAAACTTTTTTCTTCAAATCTTTTTTACGCTGACGCCATGCCCTTTGGTATTCTCGATTTCGTTCTCTTTTTTTTTCTTTTCTTCCTCTGAAAAACAAAGATTATTTATTATTATCTTATTTCATTTATTTTCATTCGAAATTATTTGTTTGGTAAACGTACAACGCACATTACAAATATTATATCCATAATGTGTAAGTACATATATATATATATATATCTATATTAATAATTTCGTCAAGCAGTACGGTAGACTCGATCGAAACCTAATCTTAATAATAAAATTATATTAATTAATTAAACCTTTTTTTTTTTTTTTTAATTGTTGGGAAATCAATTTACTGACCCCCGCGCCGGGGCAACGATTTAAAAGTGACGCAGGGAGTGTGGGAGTCAGTCCGTATGGTGCAATGGACACCTACCCCCTAAAACCCAACAGCCCCATCTGTTCGCTATGGACGGTAGGCGCAGTAACAGTTTCCCTTAATCCGTGCCTCCGTCATGAGCGTCTGCTGTGTGAGCACAACTTCTGCGTTGCCCAATTCTGTGCTAAGGGCACAGTGGAGTACGGGCGTAATCGCGACGTCTCCTTCCAGGCCTTTTTTTGCGTTGAGGGTCGGCGTCTGGGTTACACTCCCGAACCCTCTCCGCATTCTCTTTAAGTGTAATGACGGCCTCACAGAACGCTTTGAAAGTGTTCCACGGGCCGTCACTGTCAGCCTCCATCATAGCTTTCACTATGACTGGAAGCGACAGATCCAATCCGAAGGTGGCGGTTAATAAACTACGCTCAGAGCTCCACGCCGGAAAAACCTCTAAAGTGTGTTGCGCTGTGTCGTCTGCGAAACCACACTCGTGACAAATGGGGGATGCCTCCCTCCTGGCAACCCTGTGAAGGTATCCACCGAAACATCCATGGCCTGTGAGGACCTGAACGAGTCGGTACGAGAGTGCCCCCCATCTTCTATTTACCCACAAGTTGAGCACTGGACGTATAGATGTAATTGTCCAGACTCCTGCCCTGTGATCTTGTAACTCATCCATCCATTTCTGAAGGACGGTCACTTGGGCTTCCCGTCTCCAACTGTTTATGTGCTCAGGAAGGGGGTTGAAACCCCTACTTCTGCTATCTGCCCTATGTTAATAGATCTTGGCTAGGGCAGCCGCTTCGAGGTGCCAGGGGGCAGTTCCTGCAATAACACACGCTGCCTCGCAAGAGACGGTGCGGTACGCCCTTGCCACCCTTATGGCCATCACCCGTTGCGACTGTCTCAGAATCGCCCTGTTTTGAGCGAATAGACAATCGGCCCAAATGGGGCATCCGTAGAGGCCCCTCCCCCCCCCCAACACCCAAAAAACCGGGCCCCCCCCCCCCCCCCCCCCCCCCCCCAGAGGCCCCCCCCCGCGGGGGGGGGCCACCGCGGGGGGCCGGGCCCCGGGGGGCCGGGGAGGGGCCCCCTTAAAAGTCCATCGAGAATCGAGGACAAGCCCGAGATACTTTAAAGTGGGGCTTACTCTTATGGGCACACCACATACGACCAATTGTGTACCGTCAGGAGGAGCTCGCCTTGGGCCGTGGAAACAGACCGCCCCAGATTTCTCGAGGGCGACTTGGAGGCCAATGCGCCTTATTTGCGCCACAACCTGTGCCACCCCCGCCGTTGCGAGGATGCAAGCTTCTCTGTATGTACGACCTTTTGCAGTGATAAGTGTGTCGTCGGCATAACATATTAGGCTGACACCTTGTAGATGTGAGCCACGAAGGACGCAGTTATATCCGATATTCCATAGGAGTGGGCCTAGAACAGACCCTTGTGGAACACCACACTCAACCCTGTGTTCCTTCCAACCTCCCCGACCCGGGCAGATGACGGTTCGGGCCGAAAGGCAGGACCTTATCATGTAAAATATGGGTTAGCAACTCCCGAAACCTTTCTTCCAGCCCGTTCTTGAGGACATGGACCCAGACCTTCCCGTGAACACCATCTGGTCGGGGGCTGTCTTTTTGCTCTGAAGCTTTAGTATTGCCACAGAGAGTTCCTCAGGCGTCACTTCTTGGACTTCCTCATCATAGTGGAGGTCGTCGCGAGATGTTGGTTGCGAACTGTTAGCCGGGAATAGCGCGGAGACTACCGTATCCAGGAACACCGGTTCTAGAGTGGTAGTGAGTGGCGGAAGCCAAGGGCGCAGCTTGGTCATCACTAGCCTATATGGCCGCCCCCATGGGTCTAGCTCCAAAGTTTGTAAAAGATCTTCCCAAGCTTTCTCTTTGGCCTCTCCGATTGCAATGCGCAGAGTTAATTTTGCTGCTTGGTATTCGCCGTAGCACCTTCTTTCTTCTTCCGGATCGCGTGGAGCAAGGCGTCTTCGACGTAATCGGGTGTAGCGGCGTCGGGCAACTACACAAGCCGTCCGTAGCTGGGTGAGTTCAGGCGACCACCAGTACACCTGTCGGCGGGGCGGAATAGGGCGGATCCTTGGCATTGCAGCGTCGCTAATACGCCGCAAAGCCTCTCCGAACCATTGCACCTCTCTATCTGCTAAGATAGTATTTGGCTTAGGGCACCACGCCTCTGTCAAAGATGCCAAAGACAGGGAGTCAAAGTCCAGTTTTTTACGGGACCATTTTGGCCCTATTTCCGGTGGAGGCTGATTTGATCTACCAGTTGCTGGTGGTAGCTGTTGATGGGGACTCACCAGGAACCGAATGTACCTATGGTCCGAAAGCGTTTCAACCTCTGTAAGTACACGCCAGTTGGAGACGCGATGTGCTAGTTCCGGGGATGCAAAAGTTACATCAACGATAGAACTGCCCTGCATTCGCACGCATGTGCGTTCCGATCCTCGATTCAATATCACCAAGTTGTGAGTGGCGATCCAATCAACCACCGCATCGCCACGGGCTTCGGATACCGGAGAGTTCCACATAGACGACTTCGCGTTGAGATCCCCTGCAACCCCATTTCTGCCAGAAAGGCCTCGAACTCTGTAATACTCCGGTTCGGCGAAAAATAAGCTCCAATTACAACGACTTTTTCTAGTTTAACAGCGATACAGCCGTTTCCTTTTAGCGAGGCTCGAGGCAAGCCTTCAGGCAACGAAACGGCAATCGCAACTAAACCGTTGCGGTCGCCAAACCAGTTTTCCCTCTGGGGGATCACATACGGCTCCGATACTATTGTGATATTGATTAACCACTGCGCCATGCTCTGGAGAAAAAGATTCTGAGCTTTGGCGCAGTGGTTGATGTTCGCCTGTAGGATTTGGAGGGACATCTATAAACCAGGTGTTATCTCCATTTGCTCCGTGTCCCCGATCGGTGGGGCACCAGTGGCCGTTTTGTTCGCGGTCCACGTCCTTCTGGGCATCTTTTTGCTGGGGGCCGAACACGCGTTACCCCCCAGTAGATGGTTTGCTCTCTGGCCAGCCGCAGCACACAGAACGCATTGCGGATTTGCAGAGCAACTCCCTGCTCGGTGGTCAGATTGACCACACCGAAAACAAAGGTGACTGCGGTCCATATCTGCAGTACACCGTGCTGCTACATGGCCGCCCTGAAAGCAGCGGAAACATCTCAGTTCTCGGGCCCTCAAGAGAACAACTCGGGCAGAAGCCCATCCCACTAATAACCTTCCTTCGGTCAGCTTTCTGGCCGCCGTCACTGGGCACCTGACCCATGCCGCAAAAAGGCCAGTCCTGTTCTGACGGACGCATCCGACCTTCACATTGTCCGGCGAGCAACTGACCTTAGAGCAAATGGCTTGTTTGACCTCTTCTGGGGTGACTGTCTCATCCAGCCCCGAGATCATCAACTCAGTTGATTTAACAGGTCTGGAAACCCGGACTCTTCCCTCACCATAGACCTCCTTTAATCTAGACGCCAGAATATCCACCTTCTCCTCACCACCTGTCCAGGGGACCTGAATGATGGTGGCCCCCGTGACAGCTCCCCGCAGCGGACCCCGCAGGCTGGACATCTGCGGTGGGGAGGGAAAATTAATTAAACCTAACCTAACCTGAATAATAAAATAAAATTATATTAATAAAAAAAATTAAAATCAATTAAATTTTCATCTAGTATATTTATAAAGTACTCACTCATTTTCTTTCGCTATTTCTTCGTCACTTTTTTCATTAATACATGCACTTTGTTCAATTTCCATATTTTAAACACTTTATATACACGAATTTTACAAACAGCAGTGTGGCCACTACCCAGACGGTCGAGCCATCAGCTGTCACCATCCATGAATGCGCGTGGCACGCTGTAACATAAAGACACATGACGCAGGCATACATTTTCGCCGCGCCGTAGAAAGAGAGGGGGATACTTCCTCTCCTACGCCGCGCCAGCTGTCTACTCTCCATCCGTCTTGCGAATTTTCTATCAGGTCACGTGTCCTGACGCGAGTTTAACATTTTTTGACAACTGATCTGTGACTATAAATTGAAGTACACAAGAGCAAGAAAAAGGAAAGAGGAAGAGATCATACTAGAGAAGTTATACAAAAAGCCAACTGTGTTGTAGCCAATAACTGAAGCAAACAAGGGCTTGATTACTTTGTGTGACAATGATAATTCCACCAAAGAATCATGAATTTTATAAAACCCTTAATCTTACTAAGGAACGATTATTTAGATAACTATGAAACTAATTAATTTTATTTTTGATTTTTAATAGGTTGGGGAAAAAGTTTCTTCGCATTTTTCAAGAAAATTCACAACATTTTTTAATATAGTTTATTTACATTTAACTAAAGTATGTAGGTACCATTTTGTTCGATAACTTTTTGCCATCTTGTAGGTAGGCATATGATCTTATTGCTATAGAAATTTTGGGGCTTCTGATCAAAATACCGCGACAATTGGTTTTGGCAGTCCCCTCGTGATGTTAACCTGACACTGCCTAAAGAATTCTGAAAAGACCGAAACAGGTGGAAATCTGAAGGTGCAAGGTCAGGTCTATACGTCGGATGCATTAACACCTCCCAGCCAAGCTCTCTTAATTTTTGCTGAGTGGCTAAAGATGTGTATGGTCTAGCGTTATCTTGAAAAACCACACCCTTTCTGTTGATTGATTCCGGCCGCTTTCTCTCAACTCCTTGCTTTAATCTCATCAGTATTAGTAGTAGTAGTAGAGTTCAGAATCGATGGTCCAAAATAATTCCAAAAAAATAAATTTGAAAAAATAAATTGAAAAAGCTTAAACCAAATTTGTGCTACTCTCACAGACACTGCACTAGGTCCATAAGCATCGCAAATTTTTTTCGCGGCTTGCATTGCATTTTTACCTTTTTTGTAGTAAAATTTTAAAATGTATCGAATTTCTTCATTAGATTCACTTATCTTGACGGTACGAAAAATAAATAAAAATCACACATCCTAATATTAATTTGGAATTATCTTCTTTAAAATCTCAACTTTCAATGATAACAAAAACAGGCAAATACATATAGTATAGCCAAAGAGATTTTATTACAAGTTCATACATAGTATAATGCGAAAAGACTTTTTCCCCAACCTAATATGTTGAAAAAATAATAATAAATAGTTTATAAATTAAATAATAGTACTAATCAGCTGAATGAAGCTGTAATGATATTTAGATTAGTTATATCTTCAGATAAATAAAAAAAAAAAACTTTAGAGGTGTCAAGGGACACCCGGATGAAACGAAATTCCTTTCGATTAATTTATATGTTAATTGATATCATAACAGTATGATAGATTATCTCGACACCAATCTTACGACGAAAAAAAAAAGCCAACATCACGAGGTGTTCCCAGGCGGTCACCCATCCAAGTACTGACCTCGCCCGACGTTGCTTAACTTCGGTGATTGGACGAGAACAGGTGTATTCAACGTGGTATGGGCGTTGGCGATAGCTAAATCGAAAATGTAAAATATAACAACTATAGCAAAAAGTGTTGTTACAACTTTTGGTCTTAATTTATTCCGTCTAGCCCCCTTTCGCAACGCTCGATAACTTCGTTCCAACAAGACTAATTTAGTTAAGTGATTCCAAAAATAATTTTCATTTCTTATCCCTACAAAAAAAAGCCAACATCACGAGGTGTTCTCAGGCGGTCACCCATCCAAGTACTGACCTCGCCCGACGTTGCTTAACTTCGGTGATCGGACGAGAACCGGTGTATTACAATAGCAAATAGCAAAAAAGTGTCGTGACAACTTTTCGTAAGAATTTTTTCCGTCTAGCCCCCTTTCACAACGCGCGATAAGGAACTTCGTTCCAAAAATGAGTAATTGCATGAAGTATCAAGACAATAAATCATACTAACCTAAGAAATTCAATTTTTAATAATTTATTTCATAACCATGGATACAGAGTCCTTCAGTCGGAATCATAGAATTACATAAGGTCCTTAATAAGAAATTCAATGACATTCTGTGTTGCCATCCGAAAGTTTTCAAATAATTCAATTATCTTCTTTCATTAGCCAGACTCTATTTTAAATATGCTTTTTCCACTTGCCACTAGATATTCATCCAACCACGCTCGGCTACCACTGATATGGTGGACTAGCGGGATATAGCAATTAATTAAAACGCAAATAATACTTGAAAACATTGTGTTTACATATGAGAAAATATATTCCATTATAATAAATGATACTGCACATCCAAAATAAAAGATAATCCAAATTCAAATGCAGTGCATCATAGACAATTATATGTGGACAGCATCACGACCTTCCAACAATAAAGAACAAAATATGCACCGGCAGTTTTGTTCTATTATAATTTACTAGCGACCCGCCCCGGCTTCGCACGGATGCAATACTGATACTAAATTCAAAGTGCTATAGAGTATAGAGAACCGCGGCCTCCGACGCGCTGCGTCCCGCAATTTTTAAATTTGTAACATCTTCGAAAATATTCATTTCAATCATATGCTGTTAAGGGCCATATAGATCTATATTAAATCAACAATGCATTTAAAGTATTTAATTGGATAATGATCAATGCTGTATTGGTTAAAATAGGTTCGAAAATTAGCCATTATTTGTCGTAAAAAGTAAATGACAAAAAAAAATTATTGTTTGATATCCATTAGAGATAGACATATACCATCATGGAGTTTTCTGTAGACCTTTTCAATGTGTACAATACTTAGTACATTATTTTGATAAATCTCGTAGGGTTCGCAATTTAAGCGGAAAAAATGTAATTATTTACGATTTACGACATCACATTAGAAACCTCAAAAATAACAGTATTTCTCCATCCACATGTAATGGATGTTATTATGCATATAAACCTTCCTCTTCAATCACTCTATCTATTAAAAAAACCGCATCAAAATCCTTTGCGTAGTTTTAAAGATTTAAACATACATAAGGAAAGAGAAAGCGACTTTGTTTTATACTATGTAATGATGGACATTCTATATTATATTATAGATACGAGAAAACCGCAAGATGTTGTGAACAAAAGAGAAAATCTTTAAATTGCTTGACAGTCTAATCCCCCAACTAAAACAACTCGGACGAATCTTGGTTAATTTTTAAATACACGTGAATTAGGAACCTTAAAACGGAGATCTTTGATTTTATTAACAATGTACATTGTCACACGTGACGTATGTCGTTGCTTATTCATCATACTGACAGTAAACATATAGCGCGCATTGAGCGCCATCTAGAGTCGAGTAGTAAAAACTAGAACAGAAATACTAAGATAATTGCCATCTATCGAAAGTACATTGCAATATACTCAGAAATGCACCAATACTTAGACATGACAACCCATTATTATACGGAAATGTCACAAGGACAAAGTAATAATAAAAAAAAATGACGGGTTGCACTCCGGCCGTAGGGATGTGACATTCTGTTTCTTAAAAAATAATCAATATTTTTATTAATCGATTTTGAAATTAATTTCAAAATCCTTAAATATTTAATTTAAAATAAAATAAAATATTTACCTTAAATATTTTATTTTATCATAGTTTTATTAATTAAAAATAAACTATAGAAATTATAAACACAAATTCAAGTTAGAATAATCAAAATTGAAATTAATCAATTTAAAATAGATTTTAGGTGAAATTTGATAGATGCTGAGTGTATGCCTTTTCAGTAGCACATTGCAGTATTTTAGTTGCCTTTTTTATTGTATGTAACCTTTAGTTGCTGAATAAATTTATGTTACTTTTAAATTATAGCGTTCAATTCAATGAGTTTTTGTGAAATTAGATGGTTTTATAATATCCTTCCGATATATAAAAAAACATCAATGCATCGAGATCAATACATATTCAAAGCGTCGGATCTATTCCAATGTATCGCACTGTAAACATCGATGTATATCGAATATCCATAATAGTTCGAGGTCCGGGTTATAAAAGAAAAGAAATAATGTCGGGAGGTGGCAGATGAAAAATCGACTATGATTGATTTTCAATTATAAAAATAATCGATTATTTTCAAAATTAAAATCGCGTACAAAAATCGATTTTCACTTCTAAAAAAATAGATTTTAATCGATTATTTTTTCACATCCCTAACTCCGGGAGTGCCGGCAGAAGTGAAAACTTGAATATTTACGTTGTGCATTTTTGATATTTTGGAATGGTTAGGGAATAATTTTGCACGAATTGCTTTAATTATCAGTATAAAAGTACTATCATTTATCTGGTAGAATACAATATTTATTTATTGCGCTATGGTACACAATAAGACAATTTATATTACATTAAATACGCCGCGCCAGCTGTCTACTCTCCATCCGTCTTACGAATTTTCGATCATATCACGTGTCCTGACGCGAGTTTAACTTTTTTACCCATTCCAAAAAAGTGTACAACGCCGCTAAAGAAGTTTTCACTTCAAAATTACAAAACACTATATAAATAAACACAACATACCGTCTCCGTTGTGACTGGGCGTGCAACACAAACTAACAAATTTGCGATAGGCAACTCGAGTTATCGCGAGTCAGCCCGAGCTAAAATATCTGCAAACCGAGTTGACTCGGAGAGTGCGCGCGGCGTGTGCTCAGTGGTGGGCCGCGGGCTGCGGGCGATGCGGTGGGCTGGCGCCCCTCGGCTAGCTCGCTACTCGCAAGACCCGAACAACCCGAATCAGTCCAACTTGCGTCAGGACAAATTCGTAAGACGGATGTTTTTTTAAAGGATTA